AGGGGGCTGAGCAGGGCGGGGTAGAAAAGTAACAACTTCTCTGCAGGAGTGGGAGGAGAAGATAGCTACATTTCTGCGGGGTGGGGGGGGATTCCCCTAGCAGAGTGTTAGCAGAAGAAACATCTTGGGCAGGAGAAGAAGCAGACAGCTCTGCTAGGACGCTGCCGTAAGGGAACAGAGCAGAGTTCAGCTGTAGCGGCTCTCCAGGAGAAGAGCAGGATCCCTATATCCATCCCCCACTGCACCCCACCTTCAGGCAGCCTGGCTGTCCTAGTCAGGACATCTTTTGTTCAGGGCTGAGCTGTCCCCTGGCGGCTTGAGCCTCCAAAGCTCTCCTATTGCAGCTCTAAGTATTATATCCTGGCTTCCCGAGAAGTCAGGATATCTTCCCAAGAAATCAGAGCTGGAACACTCATTCTCCCACAATGAGGGCCTGAGTTCATTCCCTAAAACGCCTAAAAATGTAATTGTGTGTGTGTGTGTGTGGGTGTAGTGGCTATTAATATGTCTAAAGTTTATTTCTTTTCAAACATTTTTTATAAGTTCCAGGGAGCCAATTTGACCTACCTAAACAGACCAGACTCGCCGATAAGTATCATTTAATTCTTTTCTTGTCATTCCTGGTATGGGGAACCCCTAAACCCCCTCCGTCTTCCATCTTGGGACTCTCCTCTATTAATCACTAGGATCTAATTTTTTTCATCCCAAACATAATTTTTGTCTTTCCAGCATCTTGCAACGTCTAAGCTACCAGCCGACCCAGTTCCTCAGAGCCTGGAAAATACAGCCGTGATCAGCCACCCTAGGACATGGTCAAACATTCCAACTCCTCGACACCTACAAAGTCAGCGTGAAGCAGTCGTGAGAGACCTTACGGTGCCCCATGGCCACCCCCCCCCCCAAATTTTTATAATAAACAAATGGGCTTGCGTGACCCACGTGTGCACATGCGTGGTTACTTCCACGTGTGACTCAACTAAAGCCCTTGTGCGCATACGTGGGTTATCTGCCATCTGCATCATCAGCCCCCACGTCTTCCCCCTGTGCGCCTGTGCTAGGCGGCCTTTAAAAGCTGGACGCGCCATCTTTGCCCTCTTCCCCCCCCCCTACACGTTTCCTCAGGCCTGTGAGCACCCCCCTCTTCTAATAAACTCCTAAGTGGGTTTGTTTGCATCTCGTGTCTTCTCACTCGCGTCGGAAATTTTAGTGGCCCTACCACTATTTGGCAGAGATAAACAAACTCCTGGACCCTGTGTCTAAAAACCAACTGAACCTGAGTGGGGTGGTGCACACTTTTAGTCCCAGGACTCAGTAAGCAGAGGCAGGCAGATCTTCTTGAGTGACAGTTGCAACATGAACCTGTCTCAAAAAAACAGTGGATGGTGCTGAGTTGAGAGCATAGCCCCCAGCCCCTGGCATTCATCCCAGCTTCCCTGACCTGGGAGTTGCTTTGGTCTGGACTCCAAATCCCAGCATGCCAGGTCCTGACCCCTCCCTGGAGAAGAAACATGTCGTTTTTGGGTCTGCATGGGCTCCCTATTGTCATGTCTCCCCATCATGCGCTCAGCCATTCTGAATAAAACAATGGGCATTTTGATTTGGTTTGATTTGGCCTAATTGGATTTCTCGTGCCAGTGGAGTTGCCCTTTTTCTTATTTACTTAACAGATGGTACACAAGGTGGAGCATTGGCACACACAGGCATCAGTATGCATGCATATACACACACACACATTTTCCTAGGTAACATGTAAACAAACTCCATTTGGGAGACAAACTCCATTTGGGAGTGTTTTAGGCTTCCTAGAGTTCCCAAATGGTATGAGTGCCCAGGAATTAGGAATCCCATAAGAAATACCATTTGGTAGTAGGAATGGATCAACCTAAAGGTCCTGGTATGTAGAGGAAGAACTAGTTCCCAGTTCTTTTAACCCAATTCCATAGCTCAAACTATAGTCACTGATTTCCTAATATTTGCTTCATTTTTTTCTATAACACTGCCAAGGGCAAGGCAGAGAGAGAAAGGTCTTTCCTTAGTTTCAACAAAATAAATATTTTTCTTGCTGCTAGGAGAGAGCACTGTAGGCCAGGTCAGCAGGAACACTACTTGGTAACTTGCACTGAAGCCCTCTAGTAACACTTTGATGTTTACATGTGAGCTCTGTTCCAGGATGTGTTCAAATGTTTGGCATTATAAAGTTGTGGCCTAGAAATGTGTTGGGCCACATCCAAAGTTATGTTGATACACATGTAAGACACAGGAACAGCAGTTCAACAGTTTTTCAAGAGTGGGCTTATGGTGAATGCTTTTTCCTGGAAATTGTTAGAAATCTAAAATCTGGAAAACATCCCTCAAAAACTGATGGAAGAATTCTATTATTGAAGCCCATTCGTCCGTGTCTTAACAAGTCTCTCAGATAAATACGATGCACAGACAAATTTAAGACTCAGTAACTTGCATTACCTACTACACTCTAGTTTCTCCTTAACAAAGCAGAAGGTTGGGCCATTCAAACTCATTAAAAGTTTGCTTCAAGGCGGATCCCTGTGAGTTCGAGGTCAGCCTGGTCTACAAGAGCTAGTTCCAGGACAGGCACCAAAAACTACAGAGAAACCCTGTCTCAAAAAAAAAAAAGTTTGCTTCAGATTTTGATGAGTGCAGGGTTTCATGATGTCAACTGATTGCTTATTAAACAAACAACTAGCGCAGAAGAACTTCAGATGCTTGGAGTGTTGCTATGTCCTAATCAGACTACAGACAGATCCAAGTGCAAGGGTAGACTTTGACCTCAGCTAAGACTGATTTTCCCAGAGGGGGCCTTCTCTTCAGTATAGTATCAAATTCTCTTGCCAACAATAAAACACTTTGGGCCTTAAGTATTACTTGACCTCCTCCACGCCCCACTTCAGACAAACAACAACACAGGGAGCTAAAAGGCCCTGGGGGCGGGGGGAATGCCTGGAGCAAAGTTTTGCTTTATTTGCTTCCCAAAAGATGTGAAAGCGGTCCAATCAAAGAAAGCACTCTGCCAATCCTTCCCCCAGGGCAGTCTCCTGGTCCCTAACTCTTTGTGCTGTGATTGCTCCAATTCAAAAATAAATGACAACTTCAGAATGTAAAGTGCAGCGAAAATAAAACCTAATTTCCTCCCTGCACACAGCCTACAGGGAAGCCACAGAATGCACCAGGAGCAGCAGTCAATAATTTGTACCAAAAAACAACCATCCCACCTAAGGCTAAATGAATTTGAAACCAAGGGCCCAATGAGTACCGGCCATCAACACTTTCTTCCGAGATCTTTTCTCCGCTTTATCTTTCAGCGTCCATCCTTGCATACGGCTGCTCGCGGACCGCCAACAACCTAAATAAAACAAAATCAAAAACAAAAACCAAACACCGAGATCAGCACACCGGAAACAGCGATACACCCCGGTGTGGCGTCATCAACAGTCGCCGTGAGTTCGTTCAGTCTCTTATTCCCACCTCACTTCAGTTCCCGTCTCTTTGAGCCTCCTGTGGCTGTACGTTTCTAGCCTTTGTTCAGAAAGACGCACCGCGACATCCCCCCCGGGGCCCCCCCCCCCGCCCCGAGGCCGATTGGCCCAGACCTGCGGCCTCCAGGGAGTAGCGGCAGCCTCAGTAGCCACACCGGACCGGGTTCCAAAAGCCTTTGCGAAGGTCGCAGCCCCTGAGAAGCTCGCGGCATCCTTCCGGTGTCACCTAGGACACGGTTCCGCCAACGTCCGCAGCCGCTCTAAGCTCCAGCCCTGAGAGTTGCTAGGCGTTGGCGGGCTAGCTCACTGTTACAGCCGAGCATCTTTTATGCCAAAGCATGTAAAATGACTGGTGTTCAGGTGGAAACTCTACATTGTTCCCCCTCCCTCCCGCCATCTCTCTTCAAACCCTTTCAGGCATGAGAAAACCCGCCCTTTGGCAGCTCCTCCCCCAGAGATGCTCAAGACCACACCTACAGGGCATTTAAACTGCCCCCTCCCACCGGCCATGTGGTTTATTGGTCTCTTTTTCCCTTCTCTCTGGTGGCCGAGAAATCATCTGGGAGCTTGTACTCATTAAATCTGGACTTTTCACCTTTAATTCAGTTTGATTGGTATTACTACATCTGCTGAGAGGATCAATATCTGCGTGCATAGATCTTTCAACTGTCCCTCCCTTTTCTCATTTGTTGGAGGTTGATTCACAAGGTTACCAATCACTGTGAAGTTGAAATTCATTTTATGTGATAGTTCATCGTGACCCATTTAAGCTTCTGGAGTTGAAAAGTTTTTACACCCCGTTAAGCCTCTCAGCCGATCCAAATCAGACCAAATCAAACCGAACTAGAAAAAGCCCAGGGTTATGTTTTGTTTTATTTTCCCTCACAGGTATCACGGAAAAAAAAGCCCAGGTTTAATGGAAGCCAGCGCTCCTGGCAGAAAGAACGGAAAAATCACTGAGAGAGAAAAGGAAGACTGGAAAGACCACGTGTTTGGTTTTTTTTTGGGGGGGGGGTAGTTTAAATACCCTGTGGGCGTGGTCTTGAGTCTCTCTGGGGAGGGGTCACTTTTTGGCTGCTTTCTCGGAGGTGGAGTCTGGACTGAGGCAACTCACAGAGGAGGGGGCCTGGGATGCATTTTAGACTCCCAGGCCACGTGGATGCCAGCGGCTGGGGTGAAACCCCAACCTAAACATTCCAGACTCTTTGGATGTAAGGATGTCAGCGGCTGAGGTGACACTTCCAACCAAACACATTAGAAGAGCTTCCCTGCCTATAAGAGTGTCATTATCACATTACCAACCTGTGCACTTGTGTCCAATGTCTGCCTGATGGTGAGGGTTCAAGGTACAATGATTTTTTTTTTGCCTTAAGAATAACCAATTCGGGGGGCTGGAGAGTTGGCTCAGAGGTTAAGAGCATTGCCTGTTCTTCCAAAGGTCCTGAGTTCAATTCCCAGAAACCACATGATGACTCACAACCATCTGTGATGAGGTCTGGTGCCCTCTTCTGGCCTTCAGGCATATACGCAGACTGAATATTGTATACATAATAAATAAATATTTAAAAAAGAATAACCAATTCATGCTGCATAATCTATTCCAGAGCCTCTCTTCAAAAAATGGCAAAAGCAGTTTGTTTGCCTTAATCTCTTTCCCTCCCCTCCTATCCTGTTTTACTCATTGTCCTGCACTTACCAGCATGCCCTCCATAAATCACTTGCTCCTGGTCCTGCTCTGCTCAGTTTCTATTTTCAGATAATCATACGGGTGATTCCGATATTTCCCATATTTTTCAGAGACTGTGTAAAGCAGGCCTGTGTGGTCTCCCTGTGTTGGCAGAAAAGCTATCCACAGGAGTCAGGAGCGTGATAAAGTACAAGTGTAAAAGCCTCTCAAATCAGACTTGAACATGTGGCCTAACTTTAAAATGAGGCACACTTTGTTCCTAACATCTCCTGTTTTGCTGAGACCTACATACCATATTCTGTCAAACTGGAAAAGATGATATGTATGTATATGTATAGGTGTGTAATTTCATTGTAATTCCTTGCCACTATAGGACATGAAAAATGCTTACAATTATTAGACGGAGGTGTTTATTAAATGTTTTAATTAGATTACAATTATTTTGTGTTAGCTGTTCTTGTTATGATAGAAATGATCAGAAACTGATTTAGTAACTATTTTTTGTCATTTATTTGTAAACCCCAATATGAAAATGAAGGAGGAACTCTGACTCAGTGACTAAAGCCTGGTCTAGGGATGTAGCTCAGTGATAGAACAACACTTGCCTAGTATGTGCAAGACACTGGGTTCAATCCACTGTAACAACAAAACACCTGAAACCCCAAACCCTTCATCGAAATTGTGGACTCATTCCTTGTCTCTGTAGCCCTCATAATCTCATAGCTTACAAGAGGACTCATAAGTAGACAAACCCTATGTGTTATGGTACAAAGAATAAACAGTGATTGGTTGATTCATTTTGCTTTTTTGAGACAGGGCTTCTCTGTAGATCACAGAGACCTGCCCGTGTCTGTCTCCCGAGGGCTGGGATTAAAGATGTGTACCACCACCGCCCGGATAGACCCAGTGATTTAAACCATACTCTGTGGTAAGTTGAATAGCAGCTCATTCAAAACATATATCTACTTCTTACTTAATATGTGGAGCCTGTGAATATTACTGTAGATGACAAAAATAATAGATTCAGTTAAGGATTTTGAATTGAGGACTATATACTGAAGTAGATCATTATGCCTGAAGCCTTGTGACAGTGTGGTTACAGACATAAGGCAAAGCTGCACAAAGGTAAATGTTGTCAGGACTAAGATGCAATGTAAAGATGAAGTCACAAGTACCGGAAGGTATGTGCAGCTGCCGGAAAGTGAAAGAGAAGGAGCTATTTCTCCTCCTTGCAACTCTGGAGTGAGTGTGGCCTTCCCAGACCTTGGACTTTCAGCCTCCAGAACTGCCTGAAAAGAAATTGAAATTTTCGTTGTCTTAAGTTACCAGGTTTGTGAAGCTGTTTACATTAACTTCAGAAATCCAAAATAGCACTCAAGACTAAAGAATTTCTTGCCCTAGGTCATGAAACTGAAAAGGCCTTGGCCTTGGTTCAGAATAGTTATTTCAGGATATGAGATTGATTCTTGAAGGAGAATTTGTCTTTGTTAAAAACAGAAAGGAAGGAAGGAAGGAAGGAAGGAAGGAAGGAAGGAAGGAAGGAAGGAAGGAAGGAAGGGGAAAGGAAAGGAAAGGAAAGGAAAGGAAAGGAAAGGAAAGGAAAGGAAAGGAAAGGAAAGGAAAGGGATAAATACAAACCAGACTCTCTGAATGTGGCTGACAATGGGGGCTGACTGAGAAGCCAATGATAATGGCACTGGAATTTGTCTCTACTGCATGTACTGGCTTTTTGGGATCCTAGTCTGTTTGGATGCTTACCTTCCTAAGCCTGGACGGGAGGGGCAGGGCCTAGGACTTCCCATAGGGCAGGGCACCCTGCCCTCTCTTAAGGAGAGAGGGGGAGGGAGGAGGGTGAGTGGGGGAGTGGGAGGGGAATGGGAGGAGGGGAGGAAGTATAGATTTTGAATGGCATTATTTACAAAGCAAAAAATTAAATAAAATAAAATGTTTGAAAAAAAGAAATGAATGAATGAATAAATAAGAGGTAATGCTTTGGCCCCTGGAGATTACACCTTACCGTGGATAGTTGGACAATTATAGCTATTTCTGCAGACTTTTGTCTGGGCATGGACCCTATTCCCTTGCTTTGAGCAGCATTCTTAGCCATAACTTCTATCATGGTCATTACAAAATTTTGTCTGGCTCTCACTTTTAGATGTGTGATTTCCCATCACATTCACTGTTCCATGTAATGTTCCAACAAATTGTCGTATGGCAAGAAGTACAAGGAAATCTGACATGCAAATTTTGACAAAACTCAAAACATGGAGGTTCAAATAACCATCGATGAGAGGTTGATGCGTCCTTGTGACACCTTGAATAGTGAAGAAATGGAATGAGTACACCATGCTATTTTAATTTATATGCAGGGCCCTACAGGGCAGTCCAGGCTGGACTTAAACTTTGTCAATCTCCCTGCCTCGGCCTCCTGAGTGCAGAGATTACTGGTACGAGTCATATACCTGGCTTACACCCTGAGTTATTAATAGTTTCTTCTTTTATGTAGGCAAAAATCTACAGTCCCCAGGAGGGACTGAGAACAAAAACTGCCTAGCTGCACACTCAGCTTCTTATATAAATTCAATATGAAAGTAAACTTACAAACTGAGTGCAAGATTTTTTGGACCTTAATATGGCTCATAATATTTGCTGAAATAAAACGTTCCTGGGAAATGTAAACATACTAGTTATTGGATAGAGCATGCTCCTAGGCCTCAGGATGCTGCCTAAGGGGTCTCCACTTGCCCAACACTTATTTTCAAAATGCTGCACAACTTCCTTTGTATATGCTATCACTCATTCAACCTCACGAGTCCCAGACAGACCTCTGTGGATTGCTGCACTGGGGACTATAGACAAAACACCATCATTTGTACAGTTTTAAAACTGGCCAACTCAATTAGATCTTAAGGGATGATAATTTTGAAAGCTACATTCTCAATGCAATACATTTTCTTACAATCTAAATAAAGCAGCCACATTCATCTGGCATGTCAATACCGACATCCAGAACATAGGGCTGGCTAGCCACATCTCTGAAATTCCCATTCTTGGATTGAATTCATCACTTTGGGGGAAATATTGGTGGGGGAAAAGGGTGGAGGGTGCAGTTCTGTGGTTGAACAGTGGTGAGGCATGCACAAGGTCCTAGGTTCACTTCCCACTATAGAGTGATGCGCACGTGTTTAAAACTTGCAAATTTTGGCTATCCTTTGAACAAATTACCATAACTTCGTATCATTTATACACTCTAGAGATGATTTAAAGTCTTTTGGAAAATGTGTGTAGATTATGTAAGCATTGCAGCTCAGATGGAAAGGGATCCTGGCAGTCGGGAGCCAAGGAATATGTGCTACAGCTCAGAAGGAAAAGTATACTGGCAGTCAGGGGCCAGGGAATGCTGAGTGTTACAGCTTGGATGGAAGCATATTCTGGAAGTCGGGGACCAGGGAATAACACAGGTCACAGACGCTTACAGCCTGGCTCCGGGGAAAGGTTTGTCCAATGTAACAACTGCTCTGTAGGAGAAGACTTCCTGAACCATAGATGTAACAGTTCTGCTGGTGCCCCAGCATGTATTTCTCCATTCTGCCACGGGAAGGTTCCCCCAGCGAACGTGTTACAAGCCCTGCCCCGTTTTTCCTCTGCTCTGGAGTCTTCACCCAAACCTCATTCAAGAGGAAGAATGCAGGAGAGTGGCTGCCTCTGCCAGGGTGGAAAA